GCAACTAAGCCTGTGCACCACAACTAGTGAGCCTGCGCTCCAGAGCCCACAAGCCACAACTACTGAGCCCGTGTGTCACAATTACTGAAGCCCGCGCGCCTAGAGCCCATGCTCCACAACAAGAGAAGCCACCGCAATGAGAAGCCCGCGCACCGCAACAAAAAGTAGACCCTGTTCACCACAACTAGAGAAAAGCCTGTGTGCAGCAACAAAGACCCTACACAGCCAAAAATAAATAAATAAATTTATTTTAAAAATTATTCATTAAAAAAAATTATGGCACTTAAAAAAAAATTTGATTATCATTCAAAGCTATTTGCGGGGGGGGTGGGATGGCAGTGGGATGAATTGGGAGATTGGGATTGACATCTATACACTAATATGTATAAAATAGATAACTAATAAGAACCTGCTGTATAAAAAATAAAATTAAATTTAAAAAAAACAAAGCTATTTACATTGATCTCTATATTGTAAAAATATTAAAATATTTTTACACTGTATTTGCTCCTTAACATGGGGGGTAAATTAAATCTTAAGCATAATAAAATATCATACTGTAGGAAATATGTACTTGAAAGTAAAAAAAATGAAATCACTTCCAAGAAGTGATTCTGATTCCACCAGAATCAAAGAAGCTTTTTCTATCACACTAAGGAGACTGTTTATTTGCATATCTCATTATTTATGTTGCTTTAACTGGACTTATAAGCTCAAATAACTAAACTGTCTTCTCAGAGCATATAACTGAATGTTTACCTCTCAAAAACTAAAATTCCATTTCTTTGATTTAGTCAAAATTATTAGCTTCTCCATTAACAAGTCGTAGTAAATTTTTTTTTTAAATATTGGAAAAGACAAAAAATGATTTGCCAGAAGTTCGCAGATAGTCAATAAAGTAAATAAAAACTTTATGTTTTTAAACAGTAATGAATTACACACATACTTTGCCCAAGGAAAATTCTATTTGCTAGAACACTGGAACATATTTTTACTTCCACAGATGATGATGCAATCACTTAAGAAATTTCTCAAAATACAGATATTTGAAATTCCCTTCTGACCCTTTCAAAATACAGATGTTCCCAGAGTAAAAGGGATCAACATTAACTGACATCAGTACACATAAACTCTTTCTGCTATTTTGCGTTTGAGATGCCTTCTTCAGAGGCATAAAATATGAAGGAAACAGAAAACACTCACTTATTACACTTGTAAAATCTTCAAAATTCAGATTTACGGTGATGGGTAGAAAATGTCTTGACATAGCTATTAAATTTCCAAAACAGTAGAAACTTTTAATTTTTTAAAATATGAAATGTATTTGATATTTTATGGAGCAAATTCCTTCCTTAACAGTTAAGAGCTCTCCCTCAAAATATATATTTTATTTTTAAAAGGGCTGATGAACAATTTTCCTTAAGAGTAAAGATGAAAATCACTGTGCTGTGGAACTCTTCTTTTTACTATGTTGTTTTGAACACAAACACACACCCACACTGCATACTTTGCCAAGCCTGTGTGAATTTATTGTAGTGTTACTCAGTCTTCTAATGCTTCTAATGCTACTGGCTAAATATCTTCTGCTATTATAAATAATATGAAGCATGGTTGGGCCTTTCTCAAAAATCCAATAAAATTGCTTCTCAGAGCTATAAAATTATAATATTTAAAAAATAAGTTCAAAATATTTAGAGGTATTTAGTTCCTAAGAGAGAAAAAATGTTTGTAGACCACCTTTCTGCGAGTAATTTATTTTGACTTGTTGGTAAAAGCCCAATGACTCTGTGGGCTGAATATTTTGTCAAAAGGTCTATTGTATATATAGAAAATTTCCAAAAATGACTTCTAGAACATTAAGTTCATAAAATTTTGTTTTAAATGATTCCTAAAAACAGCAAAATCTGGAAAATTTAGATACTTACTAGGTTTATGACAGTAAAAATGCCTAACATCATGTAATCTCTGATAAAATATACAATGGATTTAGTTATTTTATTAAAAATAGATAACGGCTTCATTTTTTTAGACATGAATAAGGTTCTGTAAAATGGAAAATTAGCTTATTCAAAACGAGGGTTAATTACTATGCACAGAAGCATTATAAACCATAGCTCAACATGTCTATCCAAATTAGTTACTGCAAATCCTTACCTTGTATTAGTGTTACTAAAATCAAAATCACATTATAGGAATGTGATTAGGGGCAAGGGGACAGGTAGTGGTATAGGGCAAACAGTTAGGAGGCCAGAGTATGTGTGTGGGGATGCTGAAGGTTAATATGTGAAGGACATAAAGCTTTGCCTAAAAACAGTAATTAAGAAAATGAAATCAATGCATTCTATCTAGCCTTTATAGTACTTTTGCTATGACTCATAGCAACAATGTTAACTTTTTTTGTTTGAGTGCCTAAGATAGTTGTTAAAATCTATGTACTCCTTTGCACAATTTTTAGGTGACAAATGAAATTTTTCATCGTAAGAGTTTCAAAGGATTTAATTCTGTCATACTGAAAACAGTGGTAATTTCTGAAAAATGATTACTTGTTTTATGTATCCAGTGGACTCTAAATACCATAATGATTTTATGCCCACCATCATCCACTTTAAAAAATATATATTAATGAAGCATTTTTTAAAAACTGGGAAATTTTACATTATTCTTTTCTTTTTTTCCTTGAACTTGCATTTTCATTCCATTTTTAAACAGTGATTCTCAACAGGGGTAGAGAGGTGGAGTTCCCAGGCATGGTGGTGGGAATTTTGCCTGCCAGGGTACATTTGGCAATGTCTGAAGACATTTTTGATTGTCACAACTGGGATGATGGGTGCTTCTGGCATCCAGTGGGCACTAGAGATGCTGCTAAACATCCTATGAGGCTCAGGTCAGTCAACAAACAACAATCATCTGATACAAGATGTCAATAGTGTTGAGGTTGAGAAGCCCTGCCCTAGAGTGATATACTTCTATGACCAAAAGTCTTTTATTCATCACATTATACTTCTCTACAAGAAAAATATTTATGTAAACTGATAAAAACATAAATTTCCTATAACATAAAGGCCTAAGTGTTAAAAAAAAATGTCTCCTAGAATGGGTTATTACAATTATAATTAGTATACATTAAAGAACATGATTAAACAATCATCATCAAATATAAAAAGTGAAAATATATTAAAAGATTCCTAATGAATGGATAAAAGCTTATTTTGTTATTTTCAATTAGGTATTGTATCTGTGAATAAATATTGCTACAATGAGACGGAATTCAGCTCACTGATACTTCTATTTTCATTTTTATGAGAGCTGAGAAACCTTTATGTAAATAAGTAGATGGAAAAGGAGTTCTGTTGAAATAATGTCACTAATTTTGTAAGCTCCTATATGTTATATACACTAATAAGTTACATAGTGACCTTTTATTAAAAATTATTTCAGTGATCTATCAGCCAATAACTTAAGGAGATTCTCTTAAATATTGTTAAAAGCAAAGAATTTGAAACCAACTGACTTGCAGAGGATTTGTTAGGTAATCCTTCAAGGCATTCATTTTCTCACTACCTACTGAGTAACCCAGAGATTTTTCAACCCCTGCTTTACTACAGAGACCAAATTAGGCCTTGGTCAATGAAGACTCTTTAGGAACTTCCCTTACTTTAATATGAGAACACAGCTTCACTTATCAGGTAGGGTTTGGGATATCTCAGCAGGCATTTTAAAATCTAGTAATTTCTATTAACTGCCGCATAACCACGTCCATCATGAAATGTCAGGCACGGGTGTCATCAAATACCTATGCCTAATACCCTAGTTCTTAGAAATCATATGATGGGTTTTATGAAAATTAGATTCTCAAGAAAGAAAATAGTCCAAATATGACTAAAATTCTTCCCATTACTCCCTTACCTCTTAGATACTCTGTACTGTGCTGTGGTCAATTTTCCAGTCTCAGGGTCATGTACTGTAGCTCGGCTCAGCTACAAAAAAAGAGAAAGGACAAGGACTTACTCACGTAGCAGGCAATTTGGGGCTTTTGTTTTGTTTTGCCAAGCCACAGGTGATTGGAAGGGTTCAGATTGGTCTGGATGGTAGGTAATGGTTTCGAATCAGCAAAAACATTTAGAAAGGTGGCAATAAGAAAAGCCACTTCCAAATCAAGAGAAAATGGGTTGACAGATTTTTGTTGTAGATTGTCCTTTCACTTTTTTTAAAAAATCATTTGAAGCTCTATGTAAATTTTTTATAGCACTGGGTTTCACAGGTGCTTTCTCAGATCTAGAAGTTTAATGTTCTTTAAATTATTTGACAAAAGAATAATTAGTGGTCTCTTTAGTCTCTTTAAATTCATTTTTTAAAACTCTCACCAAGCTATAACTGTTGTTAAATCTCTCTGGTGAAGTAAAAGGCAACTAAACTCAGAAGTAATAGCATTTGAAAGGCTGAGATCTGAAGCATAACTCTGTTCTTTCCATTGCCAGCTTTTAAGTCAGCAAGTTTTTTAAAATAAAAACTCCAACAGGAGAAATAGATTACTCCAAAATGACAATGTTATTTTATAAGATGCATGAACAAATGCCAATACAATCATCATGAAGAATGATGTGAATTCACCACAGCATTTATGAATATGAGAGAACTACATAAACAAAGACTACTCCCAGATTAATCCAGGCTGCTGCTTTCTTTCCTCCCCTCTTTGGCAAGAAAAAGGAAAAAGAAAACAAGTATAAAAGCCATTTCCTGGATATCTGATTCCTAACCTGAAGAGCGATGCAAAGCATATTAACTCCCTAAAAATAACAGACCAATTAAATATTAAAAACAGAACTTCTAGTTAAAGGGAAAGACCTGTGAAACACAAAGCAGTTTATCCATGCGTAAAAATAGGTGGTGACTTGACTGGAGACTGAAAATGACCTACTTCCCTTAAATGAATAATTCCTGTAGGATGTACAAAACACTCATTAGAGGGCAAAATATGCAGCATACACATCTCTTACCTTTTGCTAATTCTGTAATGTACCGTCTCCAAGTCTCCTGTTATTGGGTTTGAAATGGTGGCTCGCCTCAGCTGTGAAGCCAACCATCAAAATAGTTGCATTATAAAAAAAAAAAAAAAAAAGAATCACATTTATCCAATCAGTCAGAATTCTGGGATTTTTTTTTTACAAAGGAGGCTAAAAAGAGAAAGTAATTCCATAGACTTCCAGTCACCTGTGTTTAGCCTTGAAAGCCTGTTGATTTTTAAATATTTTCTATTTTTAAAAGTTCTTTAAAATTTTTTGTTTTTGTTTTGTGTGAATGGAGGGTACACAAACAAAAGAGACTGGAAATTAAATTTCTTTCAACGGTTAGAGGACGTGACGTGAGGAAAAGAAATTTCTAAAATTTGAAGTCTAATTTATAGTTATAAGAATGGCTATTTGCAGTTAATAATCCATTCCAAACTTTTTGTTTTAATTTTTTCGGTGATGGAAATGTTTGCAAAGATAATGTTCAAAATTTGTTTCTAGGTCATCTTTTCTTCCTTCAAGATATTTACTCATATATTTCACATAAACAGTGAAATAATCTTGGATGAGCACAAAGACAGATGAAAAGAACTCATAAATGTTAAAAAACAGAAGGAGATGACAGCCAAGATAATGATTTTAAACTTTTTTCTAAAAATGAAGGATGATTCAGATGTTAACAAAAGAGTATAAAATTTTTATTGTCATTGAATTTCTTGATCAAATGATCCAACTGAGGCATCCACTTTGAAGATTGAGGCCTCCAAACCCAGAAATACAAGACTTGATCTCCAAGCTGAAATGAACTCCTAATAAATATTCTACCAAGGTAATTTTGGTTTACTGACCACAAATAGTGAACTAAAATCCAAGAGAGAATGACAGAATATGATGTGATTATAAGTGGCATTCTGCTTAAGAGATTTATAAGAACTCCCTTGGACAACATCCATACATATTAAACTCGTCTTTTCCATTTAAAATGTAATCTTTAGTAAAATACAAAAAGTACCCATTTGGAAAAGTAGTAAAACTTAACAACAACAACAACAACAATTCTGACTTCAAGTTTATTCTACAGTACAGATATCCAGACAACTCAACTTTTATGATATAACATGGAACAGCAAACTGTGGTCCATGGGCCAAATTCATCCAGCTACCTGCTTTTAGAAATAAACTTTCATTGGAATATAGCCAAGTTCATTTATGTATTTTCTATGGCTGCTTTTGCACTGCAACAGCAGGGGTAAGTAGTTATATAACAGGCTATACAGCCTGCAAAACCTAAAATATATTCACTATCTGGACCTTTACAGAAAAATTTGCCAACTCCTGTGTAATAATTGAGCAAAAATATTCCTAGTGTTTATTTAATAATCTCTTTATGAAAATGATGACGGTTTGTATTTTACTATCAATAAGACCAAACAGATTTTAAGAACAAGCTGATGGGAAAAAAGGCAAGAGCATAAAGGGCAGTCTTTCTCACACTCCCACAAAAGAAGAATTTCTATGCTAAACACTAAGTTTATAGGATTGTGTTTACAATAAATTGTTTTTCTTATTAAGGTAAATGACGTGGGTTGAAGTCAGAAAACTATGATGTCCTTATTTCAGATTAGCAAGATGTTTGTACCCAGCTATATCCTTCTAGTAATAATGTACCTAAACAGGAATAAAAGTACTTCAAGTATTATTTCAGATAAAACTATAGAAGATATAAAAAGTTGGTCTTTGATTAGTCTCTGAGATTAAAGGGCTCCAAAGTACATAGAAAACTTTTTCAGGAAGGTGCTGAAACACAAATTTTTCAAGTGTGAATAAAAATCTCATCTATGATTTTCATAAATAAGTGCTTAAAACCCAGTTGCAAGGTATGTTATTTGTGCTGATAACAGAGAACAACTGGTACAGAGCTTAGTTAATGCCATTAGTTTGCAACAACAATATCTAAAACTATCTATGGGCTTATTGCCATGTCAATTATCATTTTTATAATCTTGCAAAGGAAAAAACTGAAACACCGGTAGAGTAAATTGAGGAGAGAAAAAAAGGAAAAAATTATTTACCCTTGGTTTTGCTAGATCTTTAACAATTTCAATTTCTGCATCAGAAATAATATCATGGAAGCGAATAATACGAGGCTTGTCCCACTCATCCTCCTGTTTGGCTGGAGCCAGAATAAATTTAGGATTCCGGTTTCCATCATGGTAGCGGCAAAAGAGTTTTTTCTGTCTCCGAGGAGTCTAAACATAAAGTTAAAAATATTATAAATATATTAGAGTAATAATATTTTTAATGCTTGTTCCTATGAAGATAAGAAACAATAATCATGCTAGTGTATACACAGAGTATCTGAGGAAGAACACACAAAAGAAACAGTACCCTGCAAATATTCTGCATCAAATGGGGCCTTCAGGATTGTAAAAGTTTTATTAATGATTATTTTCTGGAAGAGATGGTAGGCCTTAAATTTTTAAAAGGTGAGGTTTCTCTTTAACCCCTTCTCTCATCAAAATAAAGTTCAGGCATTGTAAATATGAAAGAAATAATAAAATATTTATAGAAATATGAAATGAATGGCCAGCACTGCTCCAAACTTCACAAGGTAACTGGGAAGCACTCAGAAAGTTTCTAAAAGAAAAAGAAAACAAAACAAAACCTAACCAGGTTTTCCCAAATACCTCCCAATTTTAAAAAAATTTAAGGGATTTTTTTTTTTAAAGTAAAGAAGAAAATGGGTAGCTCTGAAAAAGAGAAAATAAGTTATTAAACAAAGAAGCCAGGTGCTTTTACTAGCAGGTATTAAAGACAGAGTGGTTAACAAAACAAATAAAGGTTCCTTTCAATCATCTATGTATTATATTAACTAAATAAGTTATTCCATTGCTGATTCTTCTCTTGATTAAACAAGTATTTCATATTATGAGGTAGGAATAATATTAGTTTTGGTTTTAATTATTAACTATACAAAAACAAATAATGATTCATGTTTATTCTTGTACTTTATTTACCTAGAATCAAATCCAAGGTTTTATATCAAATAAGCTTTTTATATGATGATGAGATGAATTTAACTATTCTGAGAAAAAGGATGCTCCTTTGACCTGGGGCAGAGTTGACGTGTGTGTGTTACATCAACAAACTGGCAAATTAACAGACTTCTGTTTTTATATCTGTAGTTCTATTTTGCTCTCTTCTTTAAGAGATTCTAAGGGCAATAAAAAATATCTGCTTACTATTGGAAATCTGAACACTGACTAGATATTTGATGATATTATGGAACTACTATGAATACTGTGATACTGGAAATACCATGATAATGGTATTGTGGTTATTTTTTAAGAGTCCTTATCTTTAAAAGACACACACTAAAATATTTAGATGTGAAATTTTAAAAAAATGTTTCATGAGTCTAATTTGTATTTACTTATTAGCTCCCAAAGCGAAAGTAAACATGTTCTTCTGGAAATCCACAAACTTATCAAAAATGTCAACATAAATATGATCTACTTATTTGCTGTTACAGGTTAGGCTGTCAACAGTGAGTCATCAAATACCAGGAAGTCATCAACATAAAAACGTAAAACCCAGCTTCAGTTTATCAGTAGTAGAGAAAAAGTTAAACACTATTCAAATGTTTTCACTTAAAAGTACTCACTTCAAAAATTCACTAACTCCTTCTATGTATGCCCGCATTCAACTGAATACTAGTACCACATGATATTCCTTAAATGAGGATTCCATGATCAATTAATGTTGAGAAACAAAGTATATCCTATCCATAATGCACATTATCATAAAAAGGATCTGAAAAGTCCTAAAGCTGAACAAAAACTATGTTCCCCACGCTTGAACTTTATTATTTTTGGCCTATTACCTATTAAGTATCCTGAAGCACTGGTAATCTGAGTATGAATACATAAATATAGATATACAATAAACAAAGGGATATTTTTAGACATGTTTTAGTATTTTAAAGAATAACTGTTAAAGCCAAAATCTGTTTAAAGTCTTTGTGCATTTTTTTTGTGTGTGTGTGGTATGCGGGCCTCTCACCGTTGTGGCCTCTCCCATTGCGGAGCACAGGCTCTGGACACGCAGGCTCAGCGGCCATGGCTCACGGGCCTAGCCGCTCTGCGGGATGTGGGATCTTCCCGGACCGGGGCACGAACCCGTGTCCCCTGCATCGGCAGGCGGACTCTCAGCCACTGCGCCACCAGGGAAGCCCAAGAATTTGATAATTTAAGGGAAGTGATAAAGTTTTTTCTTATATCTTAATGCAAAAGAGATTTCAGCAATCTTAAATAGAAATAATATACCATTCTAAACCACCCTATGAAACAGTGGATTTATCTATACAGTGATCTCTTTTGGTTCTGCTCCTAGTCAACCTTGACAGGATTGCCTAGTGAAATGTTTTCGTCTATTTAAGAAATATTAAAAATGCACAAAGGGCTTCCCTGGTGGCGCAGTGGTTGAGAGTCCACCTGCCGATGCAGGGGACATGGGTTCGTGTCCCGGTCCGGGAAGATCCCACATCCCGCGGAGCGGCTGGGCCCGTGAGCCATGGCCGCTGAGCCTGCGTGTCCGGAGCCTGTGCTCCGCAACGGGAGAGGCCACAACGGTGAGAGGCCCACGTACCGCAAAAAAAAAAATATATATCTGATTCTTCACCTTAAAAAGCCTGTTTTAATCTATGAAAAGAGTAATAATTACCAAAAACGCATTGTAATGGTATATGATTCACAAGTTTTGTTTTAAAGCTATTTTACTAAGGGTTGGAGCATATTAAGTGTGACACCTATAATAAAGTGATGTGGCATACTGTAATACTTTTATCAATAATTTGATTTTTATCACAAATTTTAAAAATAAAAGAATTCTGAATCTCTCTAGAACTATGTACAATACAAACACGCACACACATCCACTTCCACACACACACAATTGGCTTTTCCACTTTACCATTTTGATACCCTCCCCACGGCACAGCATTTCGTACTTCTGTCTCTCTGGCAGGTAATCCGCAGCAACCCCTTTTTTCTTCGGTGTGGTTTTCTGATCAGATTGGTCATCTGAAGCAGACTTATTGGCATCTTTTTCTTTAGCCATTATATACTCAAAATATTTTAAGTTACCATTAGCTCTCTGATGTTCAGGATCTATTAGAAAAGAAAGAAAGCATGTCCATGAGTAAGCTTACAGTTGTTCAAGCATCAGAATACAACAATGTACAAATTGAGGAATATATAAATTTACCTTCCAAACCAGGATGCTTTTGAGAGTGAAAGGAGGCACTAATGAAAATTATTATACCAAAACAATAGGTATAAACCTGTACTGCCCAAAGCACATCAAGACATATAGTCACCCTATACAAAAAGAGTTCTGGAGATGGAATCAGCCATTTATTTCAAAGTAGCAATTACCGCTTGTGCTTTGAGAATGTTCCATGTGAGAAGTTACTAATCAGCTTTGATGTCAAATGAATTTTAAAGTATTACTTATTACACTTATTTGAAGCAATGGAAAAGATTTTTCTGAGATTGAAATGTAATGACCATGAGGAAGACAAGGTATACAGTTCAAAAGCAACCTTTACCGCAGACACATTATAAACACAGAACACAGTCTACTTCTGAGGGCTGAGTGGACTTCTGTCCCAAAATTCTAAGTGAGATGGAAAAGAGAAACTAAAAATATAATTTTCAAATAAGCCAGAATCCACTAACTGCCTTGGAATTGCTAGTCATAATTGTTAGCTATCTTTTAGTAGGGGAAAGGAGGACTACTCCACCCATCCAGGAGAAAAAAAATCCAAACCACCAGACACACACAAATGAAAAAGACAGAACAGAACACAGAAACTTCACTTGTGACATTAATTGAAGTGTTTAAAAAATCTAGCCTTAGATTTGTAAAATACTTCTTGTCTTTGAGAAACTGCTCGTAATATATGTTGTGATATACACAATATGAGTCTACTTTTGTAAAAGAAAGGGAAAAGGGGGGAGGGGGTATACTACGAGGAAACAAAAAAAATTGGTGGGTATCTCTGAGTGATTGGCTCTGAGTGATGACTCTTCTGTATTTTTTTCTACAATGAATGAAGTATTTTTTAAGTCAGGAGGAAAAATATCACTAAAAATGCTGGGGAAAAAAGGGTAATTGAATTAATATCTCAATTTATTAATTCACTCAACTAAGAAGTAACCTAATTATCAAAAGCTTATTTTCAGGGCTTCCCTGGTGGCGCAGTGGTTGAGAGTCCGCCTGCCGATGCAGGGGACACGGGTGCATGCCCCGGTCCGGGAAGATCCCACATGCCGCGGAGCGGCTGGGCCCGTGAGCCATGGCCGCTGGGCCTGCGCGTCCGGGTCCTGTGCTCCGCAACGGGAGAGGCCACAGCAGTGAGAGGCCCGCGTACCGCAAAAAAAAAGCTTATTTTCAGATGACCAATGTTTTTGAACTGTTCAACTCTCCTAATATACACATATTTACCTATTCATAAAAAGAATTTTTTTTAAGTTTTCAAGCTTCGTTATACACCGAAGACCACATGAATTTTTTTAGCATACAACTCCACCACAGATTCTGAGTTAGTAGGTATGGTATGGAGATCAAGGAATTTTCATTTCTAACAAGTATCCAAGTAATTCTGATGCATGTGGCCCCTGGCTCATACTTACAGAAATACTATATCTCTGTTCAAAACACTAGTGGTAAAATCTTCATAAGATATCATATTTTCCTAACATTTGAATATGACAATCAAATATATTTCCAGTCTATTTATTTCTATGAAAGAATTTCAACCAGAGGATATAAAATGGAAAATCTCATGCATGTGCCCTCAGGACCACAAAACTTAAGGACTGAGAGACGGATTTCCCATAAATGTCTGATTTTCAGAAAACTGATAATATTGGAATTTTCTTAAATTACAGGGAATTGGTCAAGGGTTGCCTCATATCAATCTTAGGAGATGTTGCTTATGGTTTCCAGGGGCATGAACAAGAAATCACCCAAGTTGAGCTGGTGTTAAAAGTAAGCTGAGGGCTTCCCTGGTGGCGCAGTGGTTGAGAGTCCGCCTGCCAATGCAGGGGACACGGGTTCGTGCCCCAGTCTGGGAGGATCCCATATGCCGCGGAGCGGCTGGGCCCGTGAGCCATGGCCGCTGAGCCTGCGTGTCCGGAGCCTGTGCTCCGCGACGGGAGAGGCCACAGCGGTGAGAGGCCCGCGTACCATCAAAAAAAAAAAAAGTAAGCTGAATTGAGCTTTGTTTGTATGACTGGACTGGTTTTGTCTGCTTAGGGAATGTTCAACGCTAGTCCCCATTTGTTTTTGATTTGAACAGACTCTAACTGAACTTTCCCCTCTTTACATTCCCTGCCCATAAACACAGCCTACCCCAATCCCTCAATGGACTCACCTGTAGCTTCCTACATTTTGCAGGTCCTGAATGCAATTCCTCTGCTATTACTAACTAAACTCATGTTTTTGACAATTTTGAGTTTGCCTCATTTTACCTTTTTATTTAGGTTGACATTTCAAATCACTATTTCTGAATATGAAATGCAATAAACCAAAAACTTCCTTCAAAGAACACCAGTCAATATTTAATATGGCAACAGGGTAAACAAATATTTTTGACTGAGTTAGCTAGGTTAGGTCCAATTCTGAAATACCTGAAGAGTACAAGAGCAGAGAAACACAGCTACTGTTGTAGTACTATTAGGTGAGAAAGACCAGTTGCCATTTATTTAGAGGATAAACAGAAAGATAAAGTATGTCTGACAGATGAGCTCCTGACTTACGACAAATAAAAAGTACCAAAGCTATATGACAAATATATACAGTCACACATAATTATAATTAGTATATCTATATATCCACCAATACATCTTTAACCTTGAATTAGGCCAAATTAACATACCTAGTTCAAGAAGCTTCTTTGTGAGCAAAAGTGCTTTATCCAGGTCTCCCTGCTGGTACACTGCATAGCTCAAATAATCTAGAACAGAGACTTTATCAATTGTAGAAACCTCGCCTTCATCCAGCTGCCTTAGTGCTTGTTCCATCCACAGTTCTGTATGGTAATAATCTGCTTCTGTGTAGGCCACTTTGCCTAACTCAAAACAGTCCTCAACTGTTAGAAATGATTTGTGTTTTACTCCTATGGAAACAAAATACAGAGAACTTTAGGAATCTTAATACTATTATATACTTATTTAGGACTACACAGCTTTCAAAGTACTATCTCCCTCTCATTTGAACCTCACAACAACCTTCTGAGGTAGGAAAAGCAGGAATTATCCTAAGTTTATAAACAAAGGAACAATCTACAAGGTAGTGAAACATGGCAAGGATCACACAGTTAATAGGTAACGTAGGACCTATAGAACCCGAGACTTCAATTATCAGCCATCATACCAAAATGAAGCATCAATTAAGTTGAAGCATGCAATTTTCCAAAACAGCGGGAATCACCATATGAGATATATCTAACTCTTAACCAACAATCTGGGCAACGGATAAATGGACAGGAAGAGACAAACCTGTCAATTGATTCTTTCCCCTCCTCCCTTCCCCTACAGTAACCCTTTTCAAAAGCACTAATGGTATGTAATTTACATACCATAAAGTTCACCCAGTTAAAGAATCCAATAGTTTTTAGTATATTCACAGAGTTGTACAACCATCACCATAATCTAATTTTAGATCATTTTCATCACCCCAAAAAGAAACTCTGTAACCTTAAGCAGTCACTACCCATCATCTCCCCTTTCCTGCCCCATCCCTACACACCACTAATCTACTTTCTGTATCTGTACGTTTGCCTATTCTGGCTATCTCACATAAATGGAATCACACAACATATGGTCTTCTGTGACTGGACTCCTTCACTCAGCATAATGTTTTCAAGGTTCTTTTTATTGCCAAATACTAGTCCACTGGGATAGACTACATTTTGCTTATCAGGTGATGGACATTTGAGTTGTTTCCACTTTTTTGGCTTTTATTAATAATGCTACTGTGAACATTCATGTACAAGTTTTTCTGTGGACACATTTTTTCATTACTCTTGAGTGTATGTAGCAGTGGAATTGCTGGGTCTTATGGCAACTCTATGCTTAACATTTTCAGAAACCGCCAAACTGTTTTCTAAAGTGGCTGCACCTTTTTACAATCCTACCAGCAATGTATGAGGGTTCTGATTTCTCTACATCCTCACCAGTACTTGTTATTGTCCACCTTTATTATAGCCATTGTGGGTATGATGTAGTATTTCATCGCGGTTTTTAAATTTTATTTCCCTAAATGATGTTGAGCATCTTTTCACATGTTTATTGGCCATCTGTATATCATCTTTGGAAAAATGTCTATTCAAATCCTTTTGCCCATTTAAAAATTTGGTTACTTGTCTTTTTATTATTGACTATTTGTTTCAAATATTGTACAATTGCCATTACTTTCATAAGAATAAGGAAAAATAGAGAAAGAACTATAGAAAGAAATAAATGTAAAAAATATACTCTGAATGATAGCAACCATATAACACTGCATTTTTATAAACAGTAAATCAGGTGAGTTAAGTGGGGACTTTAAGAGCCTGAGTATTTTATGTTTTTTGTGTATACCATGTTAAGTAAGCAACAGAGAGAAAATTACATCTGGACCACATATTCTGGGGTGGTGGGGAGGGAATTGTTTCTGATATAAAACACAGTTGACCCCTGAACAACAAGGGTTTGAACTGCATGAGTCCACTTATATGTGGATTTTTTTCAATAAATACATATATGTACTGTAAATGTATTTTTTCTTCCTTATGATTTTATTAATAACATTTTCTTTTCTCTAGCTTACTTTATTGTAAAAATACAGTATGTAATACATGTAACATACAAAATATGTGTTAATCAACTGTTTAAATTATCAGTAAGCCTTCCAGTCAGCAGTAGTCTATTGGTAGTTAAGTTTTGGGAGAGTCAAAATAGACATGCAGATTTTCAACTGCTCAGGGGGGTCAGCACCCCTAACCCCAGCATTGTTCAAGGGTCAACTCTACCTAGAAATGCTGAATTAAATGTAACAATTATCCATTTGTACTATGGGCAAGTTCACAGGAATTAAGCAAATTTCTTAGGGCCAAAACCAAAAAGGAACTTGAAACCTAGAGAGGTAAGCAGAGGATGAAGCTGCATCTCCTCTGGAGGCAGTCACTAGATCAGAATACTAGAAGCTTGATTTTTAACCACCAAGAAAGGGACAGGAGATAAAGCCTCAGGCCCATGCAAAGTGACAAAGCAGACCCTTGAAGAACTACATCTTGAATGGGAGAATGAACTAGAAAAAAAACTCTGTCAGCTGGCAAAGAGAAACAACAAAAGAACTTGTTTTTCTCAGTCTTCACTGCAGGTAGGGGAAAAACAATCCCTTAGAACTCCACAGGCACACTTTCAGGGAGGTTTTCATTTCAAACATATGCTATCTCCATGGTCTGGAAAACTAAAGCCAAGAATTTAACTTAAAGTAGTCGTAGGTTGGTAATGTAATAGGACAACTGGCAGAAGCAACATTTATACTCTGCAAAATGCACCCTCACCTCAGGTTTTGCAATATTCCAACACACAATCTGAAGAAATGCATACAATCCAAAATCACAAAGCACATGATCAAACAAGCCACTATGAGCAAAATTAGCAGAAACTATTAAAAACCAGTATTAGACAGTCTTCAGATGTTGGTGTTATCACATTAAGAATACAAAACAACTATGATTAAAATGTTTAAAGAATTTTTTTAAAATTAGAAAATATGAACATGTAAGATACCCTAAAAAAGACCAGGCAGATTTGAGTGGGGGGAAGAAATAGAACTTCCAGAAATTAAAAGTATTATCAATGAAATAAAGACATATTGGTCAGGTTAAACAGCAAGTTAGACACAACAAAAAAAAAAGAGAATAATAAACCAAGAAGTGAGAACTGAATAAATTACCATGGGATAAACTACCCAGGATGCAGCAGAGAGGAGGAATACATATGAAGTTCTAGTTAAAAGACAAGGAAGAAAAAATAAGAAGACAGAAGACAACAGCATGTGTCAGAAGAAGACAACAGAATGTGGAAAAGGCACTATTTAAAGAAATATTGGTGGACAATATTCTAGCATTAGAATACATGAAACTTCAGATTCAGGAAGCATAGAGAATAATAAGCCAAACAAAGTACATGCAAGGGCTTCTTAAGGATTTGTTTCAAGGAGGAAGAAAACAATTCCAAAAGAGAAGTCTGAGGTACCAAAAAAAAAAAAAAAAAGATAACCAAAGAAATTGGTATACATTTAAAGAAAAGTGAGCCATCAGATTGGCAAAAATCTCAAAGTTTGAAATTTTTTGTGATGCTGTGGGGAAATAGGCACTCTCATATATTGCTGCTAGAAATACAAAATGACAGAACCATTATGGGGGGAAACTGGGACAATGTTAGCAAAATTTCCTATGTATTTCCTCTTTGATTCAATGGCATCACTTCTAGAAAAAATATCCCAAAGATCACTTAGCAAAAAAACAAAATAATATATGCACAAGGTTAATGGAAGTATTATTTTTATGAAAGCAAAAGACTGCAAACAAACCAGATGTCCATCAATAGGCGCCCAGTTAAATAAACTATGGTAACTCCACAAAACAGAGTAACATGCAGCTGTAAAAAGAAATGAGGAGGATTTCTATATAGGATATGAAGTACTATCTAGAACATATCAATAAATTAAAATGCCAAAGTACAGGAAGTATTTATACCATGCTGCCTTCTGTGCTGATGTTGAAAGGAAACAGGAATATATACACATTTGCTTATATTTTCAAAAAGAAACAGTGGAAATGAAAGCTAATAAAGTGGTAGCTACATATAGGAAGAAGAAAGGAACAGGTTGAGGAGTACAGAAATGAAAGTGAGACTTCTGTCAGTGGACCTTATTAGTATAGTTTGGACTTTGAAAGAATATAAAAAGTTCTGCATGACTAAAACTAATATGAGAGAAATGGTGAAGGTGGTCAAAAGGTACAAACTCCCAGTTATATGATAAATAAGTCCTGGGAATGTAATGTATAGCATGGTGACTATGGTTAATAATACTGTATTCTATATTTAAAAGTTGCTGGAAGAGTAGATCTTAAAAGTCCTCATCACAAGAAAAAAATTTTTTGTAACTACTTGTGATGGTGGATGTTAACTAAACATCTTGTGGTGATCATCTCACAATACGTACATATCCGCGTCATGTTGTACACCCAAAACTAATACAATGTTATATGTCAATTATGTCTCAATTTTTAAAAAGTTTATTTGGGCACCTCTTTTAAATAAAACATTAATAACAGCATTTTGCAGTTTTAGTTCTCACAGGCTTTTAGCTCATTTGATTCTCATGGCAATCCAATGAAAAAGGTATTATGTCAGACCTCAAAATGGATACTGCCCACTATGCTAGTTACAGTTTCATGTTCCTCTATTGGACAATGTGTTATCATGTTTCATTTGTCAACACATTTCTAAATATAACAGAAACCAAAACAATAAAAAGTTTTTGAACAACACAAGAGGACAAAGATAGGATATGAATTAAAAACTGAGCCTGTGATAAATTTGCTTTCAGTGAGAAAGATGTAGAAGAAGGAGGAGGAGGAAAAGGAGGAGGGGAGAAAGAAAAAGAAAATTTTTTCCAACTTTTGATACCAACGTTCAAACAATAAATGTGAGACTCACAATGGTTTAATGTTAATGTCAAAATATCTTATCTCCTATACCAAGTTTTCTGACCTAAATAAACAAAGAGATAGCATGTTCATGGATTAGAAAATTATCTTTTTAAAATGACAGTGCTGCCCAAATTCTCCCCAAGATTCAAAACAACCCTAAAAAAATTTCCTACAGGCATTTTTGTAGAAACTGACAAGCTGATCCTAAGATTTATATGGAAATCCAAAGAATTTAGAATAGCCAAAGCAATTTTAACAAAGAACATAGTTGGAGGACTTAGTCACAAGTGTTTGCAAGTATGTGAAGGAACTGAAACTCTCATACACTGATGACCAGAGTATAAAATGGTACAACAATTTGGTGGTTTCTTCAAAATTAAATATATACCTACCATGCAACCCAGAGA